AAACTGGTTTGTTCGACTTTCAAGAAATTCGAGTTCTAGTGAGTTCGAGAACCGAGGTACCACTGTATTCCGTTTTCTGTTTGACAGGCTGTCAGTAGCAGAGATCAAGCACCTCTCTGTCTCACCTAAACAATGTCATGAGACTAAGTTAACAAAGGCCTTCTTACAGGGATTTTGTGTGTATGTGTGTATACATATATATACATACACACACACACATTTTCTTGTATATTTTCATATGTATTCTCAGGACTTTTTGGTTTTGTTGTATTGATGGTTTTCTTTTGTTGGCCTCCGTGCAGGTTAATGAGGACGCAGTGTAGACCTACCTCAGCCAGAAGGAATGTTTGGTGGGAGGCTTTTCCCGTCTTCCCACATATTCTGTTAGGCATCATAGTTCAGAGAAAAAAAGCAAACGCATTCAGCGCACTACCTCACACTTCTAGAAACACGCACTCGCTTGTTCACCGAAGCAAGGGGAAAAAAGAATCCAACGTAAAGCACTTCCAAACACTGAACTTAACATTCTACCTCAAGACAATGTTGCAGTTGTCGTTTTCGCTGTTCTTATTATTGTTGTTGTTGTTGTTCTGACTTGTCGTCGTCGTCACTATTACACCTCTACTTCTGCGGTGAGGCCCAGTCACTTTGGGCACCAGGCTCAGAAGCAACAAATCATGTTTGAGGACAGTATTTTGTAGATGGGCCCTTTTCTTGCATTTTTTTTTTTAGTTAACAGATCATTTTAATTTAATTCTCTTTAAGTTTAGTTCTGGCTTCTTTTTTGAGTTACATTTGAGTTTGGTTGCTTCTAATCACTACAAAAAAATTGCAAGCAGTTATAAGACATGGTTAAAATGGTATAAATCAATTGTTAAAAAACACTGCTAAACAGTATCCTGGAATACACATAGTCCGGGTATTTACGGATGTGTGTATAGCCCTTTTCTGACAGGATTTCTTTTACCTAGGGAGGTTTGGTATGTCGTATGTGGAAAACTTAGTAACCATTCAAGCTCCATTTTTCACGTATAAATGCTGTTTCCGCCTTACAAAAAAGAGGCATGCCTTTATAGATTTATTACCGTGATGACAATTCAGACAGGACTACTATTACCAAAAAAGCTCCTCCTTCGCTAAAATACAGAATGTAATTCGCTCCTGAATTTTTCCTCTGGAGGCTTGTAATACTTACAGACATAGCAGATACAGACTGGATTGAAATTATGGACCTAGTCAGTAATTGCTTCAATTACAGTATATCCCCAGGTAGAGCTAATCCTGTCCGAATTGCGCTTATGAAGCGTGTGTCAAAGGCTGCAATATGTTTGTACGCAGAGGAGGGGGTTTGAAGCACACATTTATTTTTGATTTCCCAATGAGCAACAGTTGTGTCTTTGAGAGGTGGATCATGGGAAATGTAGTTATTGTCCATCCCTTTGCATATATGCAGACATACTGTCACATGTAGACAACGAAACAGACAGGTGCATATGCACGCAGATGTGATCAGCCACAGGAACACACAAACGCGCGCCCACACACTTCCGGCATGTAGAGAAACCATGCTGTGTTAACCTACCTCAGCTTAATGCCCGTGTTACCAGGTGAGTGATTCAGGAAAACATCTCAAACTATTATTTATGCATTTACTCCAAAATGTGAATGTGAAGATGTGTCTGTTCAAGACCAAACAATTTGTGAAGTGCAGTTATATTTTCGCTGTTTCCATATTTAGCTTGAATATGAATGTATAATTGATTTTTTGTTTATTATTGTTATTATGCCTGTGGTGTTTCTGATCTGCCTTGGGTAACTGGTGCCGGGTTATTAAAAATTACACAGCAGAATGTCCACCTTTTTCCCAGCATGGTAAATAAGGCACAAAGACTGTGTGATTTCAGCTTTTCTGTCTGTCTGGTTGTTGACAGAGGGATGTCTGCAACCGGCAGGGGACGTCAGTTTAGACTGAACCGCAGTGCATAGCGCTACATTGGCTCCCGTTATAATAGCTGTTCCCACTGTTTGTCCCTGAGCCGTACCCAGTCAGTTTACTCAGTGTGTCTAAATGAACTGAAATCCTTTTCTTGGGATGTAGACGAGTGAAGTGTTTGCTGTGGTCAATCCATTCATAGAGATGTTGTAGGGTGTCGATTAAAGCTGCCTATGGCTCTTGTGGCTGTTAATATGATCATATTTGGCCTATTTTTGTACAGTTGTGATGCATATTTCAGAGATTTATATATATAGATATATATATATATATTTATTTCACCACCATCTTCGTCTGGGTTACAGGAGACAGTTGCCTGTGTCACCTTCCATTCGCCATGAATTCACAGCCAGTTTTTTTCCCCCAGTTTGCAGATCTGTCCATTATTAGCTCCAATATATCGGGGAACGTCACACACATGAAACAGAAATTTATCATCCATGTAGCAGTTGTGTGAAGACAAGGTTGATTTGTAATTTTTTACTTTTTCTGAAGTGACATATTTAAAGTACTGCATCCTGTTGTTCAGACACTGCTGTGGAACCCTCTTAATTACGAGGAGGTACTTCTCAGGCTAGAGTTACTGAATTTACTGTTTATCCCGCAAGCCTGTGGTGAAAATTTCTCCTTGAATGATGACCCTGAAGGAGCTTTGGGCTTTGCCCTCTTCCTGGCCTCCTATGAGCTGACTAACTGGGATGCAGATTTGCGTTACGAAGGAGCCACATACGTCTGTTACTGGGTAGGGGATGGAAGGAGCTTCGGGTTGAATCGAAATGAACTCTCCGTCAGCTGATTCTCTTCCTCTTTTTGTGAATGGGCTTGTTTTTGCTGTAGGTCAAGAAACTCGAGAGCAATGTGGCCTGGGGATAATCTGAGCCCTGGTTACCCATTGTATCCAGCAGGCTTCTGAGAAGTCAGTAGAACAACCTAGGAGGACAGACACACAAGTTCTGTCAAGATTACAACTCAAAAACTGCATTACAGCTTTCGGTAAAAGCTCTTCCAGCGATGACTTGCTGTCAGTCTCAGAAGTGGTGCCATGGTTATTAGAATGTTACTATGTGGCTGTGAAAGAACATTTATAGAGCTTGTCTTCTGTTGTCATGTTTTTCTGAGGACTGCTTAATTTCACACACTGTTTGGCTTAAGATGTGTGATTTGAATGGTCCTCATATATAGCTGTCTGGCTGTCTTTCTGCCAGTTTGAGTAAGTATTTATTGTTAATCTTCAATATGTATGGAGTTTCAATCAGGACTACCATAAAGTCATCTTTGAGGAGCTCAAGAAATGTAATTTGTTAAATTAACATTTTTATGACCCTAGAAAATACTCTCCCCATCCAAAGTTTCTTGATTAACGTTGAGGAGGCCTTAGGATAGTGAGTCGGCCGAATGGTACCTTATACACCTGACTGTCCGTTGAAGGCTCTGCAGGATTACAGTACATACAGGTCAACTTTAACTATGGTAAGCCTAAATAATAGGCTAATGTCACAGAATAACCCTGTCACCATCCCACCCTGGTCAGATTCTTCTCAAAGCAGCTCTTCCTCTGGCTTTGTGTGACTGCCGCACTGTTGTGTGGAGGGTGTCTGGGGGGTCAGTCTGTGTGTGACCTCCATTATTGGCTTTACGAAGGGGGCACTGAGCTCACGCATCTGCTAGGAACCAGGTTGTTTTGGAGTTACACTCCTGTGCTACAGGCTTATAGAGTGAGCAGTGAGCGGAAATCAGGAGATAGCATGCAGACAACAGTTTTAGCATCCAGTTCCAGAATCAGGGGCGTTGAGAACGCGGGACTTTCCAGAAGGTTTTATCAGGGTATCTGGTCTCCATAACTGTTCTTCCTGTTTCAGTATTAAGCGTGACTCAGTCGAATCCGATGATTGTTGTTGCAGTGTTTGTTGACTTGCGTGCACACATACAGGTAGCAATACTATGGTTCAGTGATTCCATGTTAATCTTTCTTTATTGTGTTTATTAGGACCTACCAAGTAACTGTCCGGTGTCCTTCCCAGTCACTGCTTCCTTTGATTAAAGGTACCATTTGTTCATGGAGTTGTCAGGCTGATCCCAGGTCAGCACAGCCTTGGTAATTTAAGTGCCACCCACATGAATCCTAATGTCTGTATATATGTATGAAAAAATAGACACTTCAAGTAGTTTGTACTGTTTTAGCATTCATGTGCAACAATAATGAAGGAAATATGAAAACAATAAACTAGCTCTAGAAATTAAAAAAATGTTTGTGTGTGTTTTTCTTTTGTTATTGTCATTGAATTTGCAAATGGCACAAACCTTGGAGGTGGGTTATGGTAGGTAGGACTTAAAAATCAGTTTGTAACTGATTAGATTGTTCTATCCCTTCCCCCGGTGTACTTTTCAGTACATTCACAAACCCTTAAAGACCGATAGGGGCTAATCAGAATCTTGCCAACCAATTTTGTTCCCCTGATTCTGGCTTTAACCCGGCCATGTCTAAATCTCGGTTGCTGCTCTCCTGAATTTCCCGAGTGAGATTTCTGAACAGCATTTCAGAACCTCTGAAATCAGATACGGTTCAGCTCCCCTCGCATCCTGTTCGGAGAGCCCCCCACCATCTGCTGCTGGAGTTCGGACTTTAAAGATTTTATCAGGGAAAAAAGACATAAAAATTGGATGTATTGCGATGGACTGGCAATACATGGATTCATGTACATTTTGAGTGCTTTGCCACAGAAGCTGTTTTGGGCTGAAAAGATGCCGTGACTATTTGTATCAGTTCTTATTTTCCCCCCTGTAACCTGTAGCTCTGTATCTCTCACATACATCTCACATATATCCTGAGGCATTTCTCTGATGCCCCCTGAAATGTTCCACTGTACACGCCATGATGATCCGCAGAATGCCCCCGTCTGTGCATGTTTTCCGCTTTGCAAAGCTGGCAAGAGCTGCGTGCCATGCTCGTCTTTCCAGACCCCCCCCAAAAGCCAGGAGGCCACTAGTCCAAACCAAAGACTTCCTGCTTCAGAAACCTCTGTACCTCTAGAGAAACTCATAACTCCGTTACTGTCTGCAGAACTCAGGACAAGCAAATCCGTAAAATCCGATACCCAGCCGGAGAGCAGCTCGGCCTGGGTGTACTGGGCCTCCCGTGACACTGGTTAATTGGGGTTCAGCTGAAGGGGGGGGTCCAAATTCACGACCCCCATCCTGCCCCTTCGGCAGGCGCCATTCGACTACTCCAGGGAGCCAAGCAGCCCAACGGGGTCAGAGGTGAGGCTGGCCGCTCGCATTCTGGCATCCTTCTGAAGTTTTTTTTTTTTTAAGCAGTAATGTCTCCTCGCACATCACAGAAAATGCAAACCGCCGTCCTCTCAGTGATCCGTGGATAGATGGGCCCGGCGTGGAGAATACCCCGAGTTTAGGCTTCTACAACCCTGCAGTAGCCCCCCCCACCCTTGGCATTGGAACCCTGGATCCACGTGGCACTGATGTGAATTACCGCAGTGATGCCATCAAGCAAAATCAGCTTCTCTAGAACATTTACACGTAACAGCTGGAAATACTGTATTCCAAAGTACATTTTCTTTTTAATGTCAACACATCCTTGCCACAATGTATTTACAGAACCTAATGACTCTGAAACAACCTACTAAGTGCACTGATTTGCTGGTAGAACCTACAGCATACACAGCTTGAGAGATATGATACTATGACTAAAGAAACACAAGTAAATCAACAAAAGGCCACTGTCATTTTCATTTTTTTTAACACCCTCCCCCACCTCCACAAAACAGCATGGTACTGTTCTAACACAGCGTGTGTGGCTTATGTTTGTATTACATTGTGGGGACCAACTGTTCCCCACTATGCATTAAAAAGCTGTTGTTTTGATGACGTGGGGACTATTTTTCAGGTCCCCACAAAGACCTGTGAATACAGTCAAAAAAATAAAAATTCAAAAGTCATATTTTGTTTGGTTACTTATAGTTAAGGTTGTCCTGTTGGGAATACAGTTTTCCCCATAGAGATGAATGGAGAGTCCCCACAAAGATATAATTACAAACATGTGTGTGCATGCGTGTATGTGTGTGCACATGTTCATGCATATGCATGCATCAGGCAGACCATGGAATTACTGTTGATGCAACTTCCTCAAAATAAAAAATTGATAAAACAACCTGCTTAACTGCCCAATAACTACTTGACTGACAGCGTAGGAATAGTTTACGGTGATTGGTTTTTGCTCATGGGGGGTGCTACTTAAAAATGTTTTGAGGGCAGAACGAAAAATGATTGGTTATCTCTCTGAAGCAATCAGATTGTAGAGGAGGTGGTTTCCAGGCAGCTAGAGGTGGTGGAACAACTAATCAGATGTCTTGTGCCCACCTCCTCTACAATCTGATTGGTTGAACCAATCAGAAAAAATTAACCAATTTTTAATTCTGGCATTTTTGTGTAAGTAAAACTCCCACAAGCTTGATTTTTCCCCTGTGATGAGCACAATATAGCCTATCGCATCTTAGAAAAGATAAGCTATGCTTCAAAGTAAAGTGTAACAACAACCTTCATAGAAATGTAGTGGATTCAAAAGTACAATATTTGGCTTTCAAATGTTTCCAAAAAAAGATTGAAACAGATACTCGTAAATGTGCTTTGTTACTTTGCACACTTGTTCATTTTTTGCCCATGTCTATTTCATGTGGCGAGACCAAGTCGTACAGATCGGTGATGAAAAGTGACAGCTGTGTCAACTTATGTCCTACAAACAGACATACTCAGGCCTTGTCCGGGTCCCCGTGTCCTCGCCAAATACATCACGCTGCATGACTTCCGCCTGTAACGTTTGGGCTTTGTGTGTTAAGTACAATTGTGTTTGTTGAGGGGGTGTGAGATAGACTGATGGTGCTGTCATTGTGCTATGTATAATTCTCACGATGAGGGTCAAAGAAAAATACTGGCAAATTCCTCTAGGTGACTGGCACCATTATTTAAGGCACAACCTTTTTTTGGGTTTTTGCCGCTAATTTTTGAGAAGCCAAACCAAAAGGGAGCAGCTCTGAGGAGACTGAGGAGGGACTGAGGAGAATGAGATGGCCTTCTTGACACCCTGCTCCCAGCTGCCTCTAGGGGGCAAGCTGTTCTGCTTCGTGTGGAAACGCCTTCCTCTCATGAAAAGAGCCATCCAAGCTGTCCCCATGGAGACCTGCCCTCTGATCTCTGCCGCTTGCCGCCTTCTGGAGAAACGGGCAAGGCTGAACAGCCGCACTGGCTGCGGTATTTATCCTTTTGATGGATTTGACTCTTGACTTCTGTTTTTGTCTCTTTCTGTCTGATTTTTTTCTTAAAGGGTACCAGCAATTCTTCAGAAACCAAAAGTGCTATAAACATGATACTTCATGTAATGACCTAACAAATGTTTTAAATTTACTTTACTAGTGTCTGGAAAAGGTCAGTAGGGATGGAATGAAGGTTAACTGAACAGGTCTTTCTTGCCTTTTCTTATAACTTCAGTAATTAAATAGGAGAAAAAGTCTTTTTCAGGATACACAGAACACACACACATGAATATATGTGTGTAATACTGTGCAAGAGTCTTAAGCGGCCAAAGAAAATTAAATTATCTTCATGTTGGTGTAAAACTGTTATTATGCTTGTCAAAGTGTTGGCTTAGCCACTTCAAAACCTCCGCAGTCACCATCTAATGCACCAATGCATTTTTTGCCTTCACCACTTGTATACCTCATAAATTGTGTTTTCTGTTGTTGTTCTGAGCTACATTTCTTTTGACTACCTAAGACTTTTGCGCAGAACCGTGTGTGTGTGTGTGTGTGTGTGTGTGTGTGTGTGTATATACACTGCCACCTCACTCTGCTGCCTTTCTCCTCCACGGTCATCCTAACCTGTCCAGAGCCTCCCAATCCCAGCCTGACACGCTGAGGCAGCTCTGCATCTCTCTTCCCTTTTCATTCCTGCCTGACACATATAGATGTGCCCAGAAGGTTTGCCAAGGCCAAGTCTGTAACGGAACAGAGACGTTGTCGTAACTGAAGGTATGTTGGCTCCTCTCTGCTCTTTCGGTTACAAATTCATCCTACCTTAAAATGTCCCTTACAATCAATTATTTGATCTCTGTCACCTATTGTGTAATTTAATTGAATCAGTTACTCTGAAAGCATTTTCTAGATGGACAGCATTCTGCGACTGCTATTTTGACGTTAAAGAGCCTTCTGGTGGGACTGAGACTGCATTGAAGCATGTGCTGCATTTCAGCCTATCGCATTCCAGCGTGTGCTGCATTTCAGCCTGTCGCAATCAAGCGTGTGCTGCATTTCAGCCTATCTCCATTTCAGCCTTGAGTTTTCATTCTGATGGTCAGTGAATGAGCCCTGATAGTCTCACTTAGGGAGAACAAGTGAGCAAGCAAGAACCTCAAAGAGAATGCCTGTCCCATAGTTAGCAAGAAGTTGAATCAGATCATTAGCCCCTGTGGTCCTCCTAAGCGTCATTAATGATTGGCGCTCCCCTGAGCGTGTTCTGGGGTGGAGGGCCTCTGGGATGTGACAGTCTGAGCAGTGACATTGCATCATTGCTGTGAATAGTGATTGATGCCTTTAGACACCAGCCATATAGGCCAGAGTTTGCCAGGCATTGAATAATTCAGTGATTAAAACTCTAATGCATTGAACATACACCCTTTGCCCTACTTGCCCTTGACCTGGCATCATGGTTTCTTGACATTATTAGAGCAATTGGTTGGGGGAAGGTAATAGTGTTATATTACTCTGCTCTAAACTAGGTTATTAAAATTTTGTGGAACACTGGTCAAGGAATTTCTAGTAATTCAAAACCTAGAAGAGCATCAGTTCAATTGACTCTTGGTGAATGGAAGCAAAGTAAGGTGCAATACTGCCATCTGGTGGTGCCTTTACATTTAATTTCGGTCCTCTTCCTACCTTTTCGGGCTGATTTCTGCATTTTGCTCTTTGGTTGATTGCCTGTAAGACTGCTGGAATTTATTCAACGCTGATGTTTCATATGTTTGCTTTTGAAGCTCTTGTCGATGCCTCTATCCTTCCTATGTTCCCCTTTAGGATCTTCAACGAAGTGCCTTTACTTCAAAGGTTTCTCCATTCACGTCTTTCACTACGCGTTCTTTTGAATACATTCACTGCTAATTGTATCCACCCCGGATCTTTCTCCCATGAATCGCAGTGTATCAGGAACCCCTTAGTAAATGGTG